GGCGCTGTGCAGAGCGGCTCCCGCGCCCCCTCAAGGGCACGGCGCACTGCGCGTGCGCACGGCCACGGCCGGAGGGGCGGGGCCGGCGGGAGGGGCGTGGCCAGCGCGGCGCGGGCTGAGCTGCACCCGCGGCGAGGGGCGGGGCCACCGCTGCGTTGCCGGGGCGACGGTGGGCGGGGCGATCTGGAGGCGCGGGCAGCGCGGCGGCGGATCCCGGAAGTGGCGGAGGGCCGCGGTCGCTGCTGATCGCTCCCGGTCGCTCCCGGTCGCTGCCGATCTCCACAGCCCGGGGATCCCCTCCCGCCGGGCCCGGCAGCACCCTCCGCAGGCTCCCAGGCTCGGCGGAATTCATTTCCAGCGGGCCCCGGACATGGCGGGCCGCGGGAAGCTGATCGCCGTGATGGGCGACGAGGACACGGTGACCGGCTTTCTGCTGGGCGGCATCGGGGAGCTGGACAAGCACCGGCGGCCCAACTTCCTGGTGGTGGAGAAGGAAACGAGCCTGGCGGAGATCGAAGAGACCTTCCGGTGTGTGTGTGGGACGTGGGGCTGGGAGGGCACGGGGCGGTCTGAGGGCAGCTCTGGTGGGGCCTCAGAAGTGTCGGGGGGGTCTGAGTGGTCTCAGTAAGGCTTGGGGGATGTCTGAGGGGTCCCTGGGGTGTGCCCTGGAGGGGTCTCTGAGGAGGATCCCGGCAGGTTTTGGGGTCTGGGGTGTTTCRGAATTCCTGGAGGGAATCTCGGGAGTCGCAGGAGTGTCTGCGAGCAGTCGCAGAGCGATCCCAGGAATGTTTAGGGGGATCAGGGGGATCAGGGGTCCAAGGGGTCCCGAGGAGCTTGTCCCACCTCCCTGGGGCTGCACGGTGGGCTGTCTGTGCCCCCCTCACTCTCCCTTTTTTCTTTGCCTGTTCCTAGGGGTTTCCTGGCGCGGGAGGACGTGGGGATGATCCTGATCTCGCAGGCCCTCGCCGAGCAGATCCGGCCGGCAGTCGCAGCCCATGCCCGGGCGCTGCCCGCSGTGCTCGAGATCCCCTCCAAGGACCACCCGTACGACCCGGCCCGGGACTCGGTGCTGCGCCGCGCCCGSGGGCTCTTCGCACCTGATGAGCTGCGATAGAGCCCCGCGGACCTTCCAACCCCTCCCGGCACCCCACAAATCCCCCCGGGATCCCCTCTARAGTCCCCCAAACTGTTCCCCGATACCCCCCAGTATGTGCAAATCCCCACGGTACCCTCAAACTGTCCCCTCCGTCCTGTGCCCGTAGCCTCTTTGCACCCAGCCAGGGGTGATGGGCACCTCCAGGCAGTCCCAAACAGTCCCTGGTACCTTTGCAACACCCCCAAACAGTCCCCCACCACTCTCCTGACTTCTTCACACTCGACAACCGTGTGATAGCCCTCCTTGGTACCCCAAAACAACCCCCRGCACCCCATGGAGTCACAAGCCTGGCCTGGGGGTCTCCACCGCAGGGAAGCCCACCTGGGGGTCCCCATGTCTGGGGTCCCCACCTCGAGAAGTTCCCAGCCCAGCCCAGGGTGCTGCTGGGGGGTTTGTGAGGTTCCCGGGGTGTCCTGCAGGTGCTGAGGGGCTGTGTTTGCCCCGTGGGTCTGAGGGTGACAGGGGGAACCTGGAGTGTCTCTGATGGTGCCTGSGGGGGCCACCGGGGCTTTGTGGGTGACTCGTCACCATGTCTCAGCTGTGTCCCGTGATGGGGAAGTGCCATTACCGAATCCTGCCAGATCCTGCCAGATCCTGCCCGCAGGCAGGGAGGGACGCTTGGAGGGGGGTCAACRAACACCCCAAGGACACTGGGAGCTGTCACTGTGACCTTGTCACCATTCCCCCAGCTCCTCGCCAGGCCCCTTGGCCCCAGCAGTACCCTGGGGGGAAAGTTGTTATTTATTGTCCCTCCCGATRCCCAAGTGTCATTTGTATTCCCCGTGTGTGCCCCCCACAGTGTCCACAACATGTGCTGACACCACTCATTGTCTGCTCTGCTCTGCTCTGTGGGGTGCTGTGGGGGATGAGGGCATGGGGGGACAAGCTGTGGGGTACAGGGGGGGACAGAAATGGGGGGGACTCGGGGCTGTGGCATGGGGACATGCTGTGGGGGACAGTGGAGGGCTCAGGACACAGGAGCACCCTGAGACCCCTCCATAACCCCCAGCCTTGGGGGCACAGCAGGGATGAGCCCTGCACCCCACAGTGATCCCCAGGGCCTGAGGGGCTTTGGCCTGAGGGCCCCATCCATCCAGTCCTGGCCTCATGTTTAAGTTCCCACCCCGCACATCCCCSTGCCCTCCCAACCCTCCCTCAGCAGCCCCTGCTGTGCCCCTGGGGACAGGAGTGACACCTGGAGGGGTCCCTCAGGCTCTGGGGTGTTGGGGGAACCCACATTTCTGGGGAGCCTGGCTGCTGGGGGCATGCAGTGATGATGGGCACAGGTGGACATGGGCACAGATGTCACACAGAGGCCACAC